CAAGACAACAATGTCTCTTTCCAAGCGATTAACAATGCATAAACAACAGGGCTCCATCAAGGAACATATAATCTCTTCGCACAACCAGACCATCACCAAAGAAATCTTAACAAACAACACAAAAATCATTGATAGATACAGCAATAGCAGGAGGCTCGACATCAGTGAGGCACTACACATCAAAATGTCAAAACCAGCAATCAACAGCCAATTAATGCACAGCTATATTCTACCCACTTCAGGACCCCGAACCATATAGAAGCATCAAGAGGAAATATGGGCCAACAGGCCTTCTGCAGCTACTTCAATTCTTAAGTTTTTATACCCATTGGTTCGTGTTCTATCATATGTAAATGTCAATCACCTCACCCAAAACCTTTGTACCATATCACCTCACCCAAAGCAAATATTAGTATGGATGTATATTGTGTGTGTAAACTAAAGTCTTTGAAAATGTAATAAGTTATTACGAAACACGTTCAAGCATCAGACTAGAAATAAAAATGAATTTGGAGAATTGATTTTTCCATTAATCTTACCTTTATTAGAATTATTAATCCTTATATATTATATATATATATATATATATATATATATATATATATATATATATATATATATATATATATATATATATATATATATATATATATATTATATATATATATATATATATATATATATATATATATATATATATATATATATATATATATATATATATATATATATATATATATATATATATATATATATATATATATATATATATATATATATATATATATATATAGGGGCACCCCCACTGGTTTAATTAAAGGGACCCACATCCTCGAAGAAGAAAATAAATAGTGTTCAGAGAAGACCTTGTGGATTATCACTGAATACTTTAATCTTTTCCTCTCCTACCACCCCTATTATTTTTTTTATTTTTTTTATTAATATATATTATTATATATATATATATATATATATATATATATATATATATATATATATATATATATATATATATATATATATATATATATATATATATATATATATATATATATATATATATATATATATATATATATATATATATATATATATATATATATATATATATATATATATATATATATATATATATATATATATATATATATATATATATTATGGTAGCAGTCTTTCCTGTAGACATATATTATTAAATATGACCGAAAAAGTAAGATTATTAATTCTAACACGAATTTTCTCAATCTTTCGTACATTTCTTTTCACTGTTGGTGGTAATTCAAAAATCAATTCTCCAAAATTCATTTTTATTTCTAGTCTGACGCGACACTTGAGCACGTTTCGTAAAACTTATTACATTTTCAAAGACTTTAGTTAACACATACACAACTGAATAAACTTACACATCTCCGATTTGTTTATATCTACTTTTGAGTAAGGTGGATGGGGTGAGGTGGTATTTAATAAGGTATTAATTTCATCAACACAAGACAGAACACGAAACAATGGGTATTAAATAGAAGTGATTGTAGAAAGCCTATTGGTCCATATTTCTTGATGCTTCTATACTGGAGCGGAGTCTTGAGGTGGGTAGAATATAGTTGTGCATTAATTGGCTGTTGATTGCTGGTGTTGACTTCTTGATGTGTAGTGCCTCGCAAATGTCAAGCCGCCTGCTATCGCTGTATCTATCGATGATTTCTGTGTTGTTTACTAGGATTTCTCTGGCGATGGTTTGGTTGTGGGAAGAGATTATACGTTCCTTAATGGAGCCCTGTTGCTTATGCATCGTTAAATGCCTAGAAAGAGATGTTGTTGTTTTGCCTATATACTGGGTTTTTTGGAGCTTACAGTCCCCAAGAGGGCATTTGAAGGCATAGACGACGTTGGTCTCTTTTAAAGCGTTCTGTTTTGTGTCTGAAGAGTTTCTCATGAGTAGGCTGGCCGTTTTTCTGGTTTTATAGTAAATCGTCAGTTGTATCCTCTGATTTTTGTCTGTAGGGATAACGTTTCTATTAACAATATCTTTCAGCACCCTTTCCTCCGTTTTATGAGCTGTGGAAAAGAAGTTCCTGTAAAATAGTCTAATAGGGGGTATAGGTGTTGTGTTGGTTGTCTCTTCAGAGGTTGCATGGAGTTTCACTTTCCTTCTTATGATGTCTTCGACGAAACCATTGGAGAAACCGTTGTTGACTAGGTAGGGTAAGGCAGGTCCTTACCCTACCTAGGCTGCCTTACCTTAAGGCAGCCGCCTGCTATCGCTGTATCTATCGATGATTTCTGTGTTGTTTGCTAAGATTTCTCTGGTGATGGTCTGGTTGTGGAAGAGATTATATGTTCCTTAATGGAGCCCTGTTTCTTATGCATCGTTAATCGCCTGGAAAAAGATGTTGTTGTCTTGCCTATATACTGAGTTCTTTGAGGCTTACAGTCCCCAAGTGGACATTTGAAGGCATAGACGACGTTGGTCTCTTTTAAAGCGTTCTGCTTTATGTCTGGAGAGTTTCTCATGAGTAGGCTGGTGTTTTTTTTGGTTTTATAGTAAATCGTCAGTTGTATCTTCTGATTTTTGTCTGTAGGGATAACGTTTCTATTAACAATATCTTTCAGGACCCTTTCCTCCGTTTTATGAGCTGTGGAAAAGAAGTTCCTGTAAAATAGTCTAATAGGGGGTATAGGTGTTGTGTTAGTTGTCTCTTCAGAGGTTGCATGGCGTTTCACCTTCCTTCTTATGATGTCTTCCACGAAACCATTGGAGAAGCCGTTGTTGACTAGGACCTGCCTTACCCTACAGAGTTCTTCATCGACTTGCTTCCATCCTGAGCTGTGGCTGAGAGCACGGTCAACATGAACGTTAACAACACTCCTCTTGTACTTGTCTGGGGAGTCACTGTTGGCATTTAGGCACATTCCTATGTTTGTTTCCTTACTGTTTGCGAACTTCTACATGGGTACCATCGAGCAAAAGGCCTTAGTCGACATGAACCTGAAACCGGCCATATACTGCAGGTATGTTGGCGACATTTTTACACAGGTACCTGATGTCAGACATCTGCAGGAGCTGAAGGAGGCATTTGAGCAGAATTCTGTGTTGCGTTTCACTTACGAGATGGAGAAGGATGGGAAGCTGCCCTTTCTAGATGTAACAGTCATGGAAAGGAGCGGAGGTTTCCACACTGCAGTCTAAACTAAGGAAACAAACATAGGAATGTGCCTAAATGCCAACAGTGACTGCCCAGACAGGTACAAGAGGAGTGTCGTTAACGCTTATGTCGACCGTGCTCTCAGCCACAGCTCAGGATGGAAGCAAGTCGATGAAGAACTCTGTAGGGTAAGGCAGGTCCTAGTCAACAACAGCTTCTCCAATGGTTTCGTGGAAGACATCATAAGAAGGAAGGTGCAACGCCATGCAACCTCTGAAGAGACAACTAACACAACACCTATATCCCCTATTAGACTATTTTACAGGAACTTCTTTTCCAAAGCTAATAAAATGGAGGAAAGGGTCCTCAAAGATATTGTTAATAGAAACGTTATCCCTACAGACAAAAATCAGAAGATACAACTGACGATTTACTATAAACCCCAAAAAATCACCAGCCTACTCATGAGAAACTTTCCAGACACAAAGCAGAACGCTTTAAAAGCGTCCATATTTGGCCATACGGGCAAACGGCCAAAAGCGACGTTCTTTTTAAGAGGACAGGTTTTGGTGGAGGGGCCGACTGACCCCGAGCACTTCATCGCTCAGCATCCATAATTTGCTCAACTTCCCAGCTCCATCATGGCTAAAGTATGTCACATACAATATTTTTTTAGTTCCCCGTGATCAGCGACAGTATTTTAACAACATAAGAAGAGAAAAAATAAATTTGAAAGAATTTATTTTCTGCGCACCAGGGGTTTGTCATATTTTAGTGCAGAACAGTGCAGTGGGTAATATAATACTGTTTTTTAATAATAAACTCCTGGCTCACACTGCAGAACATCCACAGGAAAAGCCTTAGAGGCAAAACACCACTTAGCTGACGACAGGAGACCGGTACCAAAGCAAGCTGATAGGGCAACCAGGCACTTACACATTAGCATAATAACTGGCGGTGGAGCAGCCGGCTGACCTGGTCTACCTCCCTCCTGTCTGCCACCTCTTTCATCCCCTCATTTTGGGGAGGGAGATTGGGTGAACTAGCTCGTGCTAGTTTTGTGAGTTTTTTCTATCTTGTTTACATTGTTAGGGGAGAGTTCTTTTGACTGTTTTGAGGCTGAAGTCTGATTTTTAACCAAGCAGTGGTCTGTTTTGTTTCACTAATTTTCTGGGAGCCTTCCTTTGGTGGTGGCAGTCATGAACCAATTTACATAAAGTTTTTATTGTGTCACTGCTCCCTGCGCCTCTGAGGAGGATTGGGGTCAGGTTCTAGCTCAAGATCCGCAGTAGGCCAATAAGAGCTCCACGACTGATGGCACATTGTAGTCTGGCACTATACCAGTAGAGTAGCTTGAGGGAGCTACAAGGGGCTTCTTCCCAGAAAAAGGCTTGAAATTCATAAGAGGTTCAGTAGTTATAGTAATAGTGAGAATAATTTACTTTTTTTTAGTTTTAATTTTATAAAAAATTTCAGGCAACGATATTAGTTCTAGGATGAAAGTTCTTGTATTATACTAAAGTGTTTAAGTGTTTGTGGAAGTGAGGGTATATGGATATGCCAACTGTGAATTCTAATTTCTTATTATGAGTACAGTAGTTCAGTGAACCTAATTCTGTAAATTAGTATTGGATCCTGTAACTCAAAATGTCTTATCACACCTATTACTCCATATTTCATTTTGAAAGCAGTGTCAAGCACACAGACAACCATCTGGCAGTACAATATTGCATTTGTATTGATGCAACATTGAATATTTTATATCATTAAACTTAGTATAGTGTATACATCAAGATAAGTTACCTTACATTGCACTGGTCTTTCACATCTGGTAAAGTTAATTAATATTTATCTTACCTTGTTCCAGACTTCCATCCACAGGGCACGACTAGCAGCTTCCAAATAATCTGGGTAGAGAAGGTCAATGGCTGTCAAAAAGCGGCTGGGAACAAGTGATCCTTTCACCATCAACTCATGAGCATCCTGAAAATTAATTAGAAAATTTCATCTTGTCAAATGTCTTATTTTAGGAAAAACTTTGCCAAAATATAAAGTAAATCAGTTGTTCATTTTAAAAATGTATTGACAAATGTTTGACCATTTACAATCAACAAAATATAAAGTACATTGTGCATTTACATGATAAAAATAATACAGGAATAATAATACTTACTATTATAATTTAACTATCATTGAATTATGTGCACTGTACAGTACATCAAAATGCATGACAACAAAACTGAAAAGAAAAACCCTGCAAGAGGACAACGTAGCCAGGAGGAACAGAGCCGGCCGTTGTTATAGGTGAAACTAGGTGCGCAGTACCATGCGCCCCTACCAGTGCAAAAACTACCCCTTACCCCAAGGTAAACAAGGAAGGAAACCCCTTCAAAACACTCCGGGCTGTCAATCACCGAGCAGCAAAAGACCAACATAGGTGGACCCAAGGTGGCTTGTGGAAGTGAACCCCAAGCCCCAGGGCGGTACATACAGGGCACTCAGGGAAGGGACCCCTAAGCACATGCAGCCCCGAGTACCTGTGAATATCACATCCGGCTCGCACCCCACCGTAAGAGCAGTACTGGACCCAAGGCACAGCACAACACAGATAATCTGGAGCCACACGACCATGCAACCTCACATTAGCCGTGGAACTGATGGGTGGATCACCAGCGTGGGATTCTGGGGGCTCCCCCTTTACCCCTGCAGGAGGGGGGAGCAGCGCAGACATTCGGCACGGCTCTTGTGATGTCATGCTCGTTTGCTCATTTTCATTTGGGGAGTTCTGTCCACTCGTTTGTCTATTTTAGTCGTTTTACCTAGAATATGTTTTTTTTTTTTTTGAAGCGCTTACCTTTCTAGGTGGCTGTCCCAGTCGATGGCAGATATAGAATGCTCAAAATCCCATGTGCATATCTATAGGCAATTGCACCTCGTGTCTCTCTAAGGGGGGCCAGGTTCTGGCTTGTGGTCCCTGGTAGGTCTAGAACTGCATTCACACTGACTGATGCCAAAGTCTAATGTTATACATATCAGCCTGAATAGCTCCGGGAAGCCGAAGGGGCTCCCCCCTAGAAAAACAGTTTTTCAAAAAACCAGCGTTGAAGGTAATGAAACGCCATTTTCTGGGTGAATCCCGGAGGCTCCCAGGAGCTATCCAGACTGATATGGACATCCCTAACTTTGGCATCAGGCGATTTGGATGGAGTTCCAGGCCAACCGGGGACCATGAGGCAGAACCTGGCCCCCTCAGAAAGGCACAGGGAGCAATGGTCTATAGAATGCACATGTAATTTTGGAGCATTCTATATCTGCCATCGACCGGGACAGGCACCCAGAAAGGTAAGCGCCACAAAACAAACCCCTATCCTGGTTAAAAGCAGCAAAAATAGACAAACGAGTGGATAGAACTCCCCAATTGGCAAATGAGCATGACGTCACACGAGCCGTGCCACATGTCTGCCCAGCACCTCCCGACCCAGGAGGGGGAAGGGGGAGCCCCAGACCCCTGCACCACCGATCCAACCTGCAGTTCCGAGTTTGGATATCAAAATACGCGAAAAAATCGCCGACCGGAGGGAGGGAGGGTTGCTGGGGAGCCTATGGGACTTACCCAGAAAATGGCATTTCATTACATTCAACGCTGGTTTTCTGGTGGGGGGTGAGGGGGTGGGAGCCCCTATGGCTCCCCGGAACTAATTCACCAAACACAAAATAAAGAAGGAGATTCACCCCAGGAGGCAGTCGGTGCTCCACATCTCAACTCGAAGTCGAGAAAGGCTGCAGCCGTCGACCCAAGAGACACAGGCCCTACTAGGCCCAGGAATGTTAACAGGGTAGCGTGCAGCCAGGACCTGTTCAACCGCCAAAAACCCTGTACCCCAATGTCAGCCCAGGGCATGTTACCAAAGACAGCAGCAAGAGCAGCAAACTTACTAATGTCAAGGGCAGGGGGATAGATCGCAGGCTGCCTAGATGTAACAACCCCTGCGAATGACCTGAGAGACCCGTACCCGTGAACAGGGCTGAAGAGAAACCGGATCAACCCAAAGTGCGTCCCCAGACACAGAAGCCGCAGCGCACAAATAACGGCGGAGAACCAGGACCAGACACAACACATGATGCACCCTTGGCCTGACCAACCAATCAACAGCCACCCAAGGATCCCTCCGGAAACCAGTAGACTCATTCCTTGCCAGAAAAGAATGAGACGGCTGCAAATGAACAAGAAAGAGCTTCGGAAAAACAAACCTGAACTAAAGGGGCCTCAGCAAACCCAGCAAACACAAAACGTTTTGAAAACTTTCATTTTCCATTAGGTGTATGAATAACTTGTCTTGAGAATGGTGCAGGAGAGTATTTAAGAAACTTTTACTCCAAAAATCCAAACATATATCTTATAATATATGGTTATTCTAAAACTACTTTGCTCCTAATGTATTATAAATAGTTTTTACATGTTTAAATATGAAATTTATGTTTTTTTTTTTAAATTCATTAATACATTGTGAATGATATTTAATAGTGGTATAAAACATTCAAAATACATTTAGTTATTCTATAATCAGATAAAATTAGTTTTCATAATTTTGCTAAAAATTGCACTTTTAACATAATTTGACTCCTCATGTATTACACTAAAAACTAATATCAAGTTTATATATAAAATTTATGTATTATTCCCTAAAATAATTTATATAAATTGTAAATGTTGTTTGACTGAGGTGTGAAACATTCTTAAAACTTTTTGTTGTCTTATATATTGACGTGTGCTTATTTTAACTGTCTCAAGTGAACAGTTCATCAAACAAGAAGTAAGTAAGTAATTATCAAAAGAAGGCACCAAACCGGGAAGGCTATGTAGCACCATCAAATACACAAAATAATCAGAGGGCGCTAAATATCACCAAGGATGCCAATACGAGAACAAAAACGCATAAGGAGAACGATATGAAAAGTATCCGAGTAACCAAGAATTCTATCGAGGGACAGGTGACCACGAGGGGCGGTCGGAAAGCAAGACACACGCTCGTCCTGGAAGTCAGGACATTCAAGAAGGACATGCACGACCGTAAGAGGGACAATGCAACTAGGACAATAAGGAGCAGGGCGGCGCTCCATCAAGTGACCATGGGTTAAGCGAGTATGGCCAATACGCAACCTCGCCAGAGCTGTTTCCCACCTCCGGTTACGGTGGTAGGAGGACGGCCACGAGGAAACACAACATTAAAGAGTACGTAGCTTGTTACCAGTAACAGACAATCAAGAAGCCTGCCAACGGGTAAGGACTGAGGAATGGATAACCGGGTAAAAGTCGGCATACGGAATGCCTTTACGAGAGATGGGACAAGAGCGGACAGCTTCCTTGGCGGCAGCATCCGCACGCTCATTTAAAGACACACCAATATGGCTGGGAACCCAACAAACTCAACCGACTTAAATTTACTGTGAACGAGAAACAGCCAATGCTGGATCTCGACAACTACTGGATGAACCGGATTAAAGGACCCAAGAGCCATGAGGGCACTACGAGAGTCAACAACAACTACAAAGGAAGACTGACAACGAGAAAGCAGGAGACGAAGAGCATAGAGAATAGCATAAAGTTCCGCTGTAAAGATGCTAGTTTCCGGAGGCAAGCAACACATATAAGTGCGATCAGGAAAAACAACAGAGTAGCCAACACCGTCCGCTGACTTAGACCCATCGGTGAAGACAGAAACGGAGCGGGAGTGAGAAGAAAAGTGCCCGAGGAAAAGGCGTTTTAGAACCGTAGGAGGGGTAAAAGCTTTAGTGATCCGGGTCAAGGATGTACAAAACCGCGGAAGAGGGAATCTCCACTGGGGCAAAGAAGGAACAACACGAGGAGAAACATCAGAAATACGAACGGAAAGAGAATCCTGTAGGCGAGATAACCGGACAGAAAGAGGGAGGTGGTGAAGAGGAACAGGAACCGCAGGAGGGGTAAAAGTTAAAGCACGACAGAGGCGAGAGGAAGGATGTTGTAAGGACCGCGCAAGATAGCGAAGACAGTAGCGATCACGGCGGTCTTGGAGAGACAGGAAGCCAGTGTCAACATACAAGCTAAGAATGGGAGACAAACGAAAGGCACCAGAACTGAGGCGCAACCCAGTATGGTGCAAAGCATCAAGATGGCGAAGAGTAGGAGAAGCAGACGAGTAAGCAGGGCAACCATAATCGAGCTTAGACAGGACGAGAGAGGAATGTAAAGCAAGGAGAGTGCGCCTATCTGCACCCCAAGAAGTATGGGACAAGACCCGAAGGAGGGTAAGGGCTTTAGAGCACTCAACACGGAGGTAAGAGATATGGGGAGACCAAGACAAACGAGTGTCAAGGAATAACCCCAAAAGCTTCGCGGAATCTTTGTACTCAAGGGGATGACTATAAAGTGACAAAGAGGGACGAAGAACGACCCGTTTCCGCGTAAAAGTCATGGCACAAGTCTTAGAAGTAGAGAACTTGAAGCCATGATCGGTGGCCCAAGACGACACGGCATCAATTGCAAGTTGAAGCCGGCGCTGAAGGAGAGGCGAATCATCACCCTGACAGCAAAGGGTAAGATCATCGACATAGAGAGCGGAGAAGACACCTGAAGGAAGAGAGGAAAGAAGACCATTGAGGGCAACCAGAAAAAGAGTAGTGCTCAGAACACTACCCTGGGGCACACCTTCGTATTGCTGAAAAGAGGCAGAGAGAGCGGTACCAAGGCGCACCCGAAAGGAACGACGAGAGAGGAAGCTGCGGAGAAAGAGAGGGAGACGACCACGAAGGCCAAAAGAATGAAGTTGAGATAGAATATGATACCGCCAAGTGGTTGTCGTAAGCCTTTTCCAGGTCAAAAAGGACGGCAACAACGGAGGTCTTCGCAGCAAAAGCAGTATGAATATAGACCTCCAAGTTCACCAGGACATCTGCCGTGCTGCGGCACTTGCGGAAACCAAATTGAGAAGGGGAAAGGAGGTGATGGTGTTTCAGGAAACACATCAGACGAACGTTAACCATACGTTCAAAAAGTTTGCAGACACAACTTGTGAGAGCAATAGGGCGAAAGTCCTAAGGGGAAGTACCCAGAGACCCCGGTTTGCGAACAGGGAGGACAACGGCATCGAGCCAGTCCTCAGGGACTGACGACGACTCCCAGATCCGATTATACAGACTCAGTAAATACTGAGACGTGCTCGGAGGGAGATGGCGAAGCATCTCATAATGAATACCATCGGAGCCCGCCGCCGTTGAACCGCAGAGGGCCAGGGCAGAACGAAGTTCAGAGAGAGAGAAGGGATCATTATAGGGAAGCTGAAGATGAGTGCAGAAATCTAAAGGACGAGACTCAAGGACAGGTTTACGAAGAAGGAAAGATTGGGGAAGATGAAGACCAGAGCTAACAAGAAAAGTGGGAACCCAGTTCGGAAGCGACCTGCAACGGGTCCGCCACAAGAGTATCATGGAGGCGAGGGACCGGTGAAACATCGGGAACGAACTTACCCGCTATCTTGCGGATACACTTCCAGATCTGGGCCAGAGGGGTTTCGGACGTAATTGTTGAGACTTAAGATGCCCATCATTCACGTTTAGCCGTACGGATGGCCCTACGGGCCACCGCACTCGCTTTCCGAAAGAAAAGAAAAGAATCGGTCGTCTGCCTACGGCGGTGCCTCTTCCAGGCTGCACGCTTACAGCGGACAGCCCGAGCACAGTCCGCATTCCACCAGGGAACGCACTTCCGTGGACCCC